ATATTAGTATTCTTGGATATATAGATGGGTTAAAAATATGGAAGAACACACACCAAACTTGCATTAAAAGCTGGGACATGAGGGCAGGTGATAGATGAAATATTTGTTTGCAGTTTCAAAATGCCTATAATCCTCGCTACTGTAGAGGCTGAGATCTGAGAATCACCGTCCAGAGCCAACCCAGGCAAATTCAAGAGATGTATTGAATGAGCCAGCAAAAAGTCAGAAGCGTGGCTCAAGTTCTGAGAGTATCAGCCATGAGCAAAAAAGCCAAGTGAGAGCACCAGGCCCAGAGTTCAAACGCCAGCATTGGCACGTGTGTGTGTGCGCAAGTGTGCACATGTACACACACATCCCTTATCATGGGGTGCCAACCACAAAAGGGCCCTGCCTTCTAAGATCCAATTTTTGTGCTTTGCAAAATGTATTTGCACATGTAATGTGCAGGAGTTCTCCCTTTAACTTGGCTCAGTGGCTAGGAATGTCGCCTGTAGCCCTAGGAAGCACCATAACAACCTCATATTCTACCTGCTGCCGCTGGGCTGCTGTTCACCTGCTGGAGTGCGGAAGGATGGGAAGATGCCTCGTGGCAAGGGTAGGCCAAGGTCATCAAGGCGAGGCCTTTGGCTGCTCTTTAAGCCTCACCTGGACTTACCGCCTCTTCCTGCTGAGTTCACAGCCCTCTGTTCTTCCTTGCACCCCTGGCCATGCAGTTGAAGAGTGTAACCAGGTTTACCAAGACCTTCGCCTAGCTATGGCCTCCCACTCTTTCAAAAGATTCGACAGCATATAGTTTCTAGTAATCCTAAGACTGCTCATCTCCCAACTGGAGTTTTAGATTTGTTTGGAGATAATATTCTGGCTTAAGGTAAAATAGGAAATTGGGTGAAAGATAGGAAAATTGTGTAAAAGACTTTGCCTTATCAAATTTTAAACTGAAAGTGAGGGCCACTAGGGAAAATGTGACCAAAGCAGTGTTCTATACTTTTTAATTTATTTTGGGAATGATAGAATCTCTCGAGTATGGGTTGTTCTCTTTTCTCCCCTTTCCCTCTTTTCCCTTCCCGTTTCCCCCCTCCCCTCTCCCCTCTCCCCTATTTCTTCTCACCCCACCCCCACCCCCAAGGGATGGACCTCTGGATTTCATGCATGCTAGGCAAGCATTTTCCCACTCACCTATACCCAGACCTTCAGAATCAACTCTAAATTCATTGCCAGCTGACTAGCAAGCTCTCAGTGGGATCCTGGGTTGACTCCCTTCTCCTTCTTGCCAGTTGGTCTTTTTAGGAACAATTTATTTTGTGTATGTATGTGCCAGTCCTGAGGCTTGAACTCAAAGCCTGGACATTGTCCTTAAGCTTTTTTGCTCAGGACTAGTGCTTTTACTGGAGGTAAAAGTTTCATGGACTTTCCTGCCTGGGCTGGCTTTGAATTGCAGTCCTCAGAGCTCAACCTCCTGAGTAGCTAGGATTACAGGCGTGAGCCACAAGTGCCCAGCTAAATGTAATTTTTAATCATTTATAACTGGGGTTGGATGCATAGTTCAGTTGGAAGAGTGCTAACCAATGAGCGAAAGCAGCCACAGGTACCAGTCTCAGACTGAGAAAAACGGAAAAGAAATAGTGAATTAACTGTGAAATGCAAACATTTTTTTTCAACCATAGGTCTTACCTTTGGATCCCTGTGTGTTATGTTAGCCTCATTGTACCTCAAATCAAGCTATAAATGGGATTTAAGTATTTATTCTCTACCAGCCCTCTTTGTAGAAACCAAGTTACTAGGCACCATTGGCTCATGCCTATAATTTTAGCTCCTCAGGAGCCCGAGACCTGAAGGTCATGGTTCAAAGCCACCAGTGAGGCTTGGCGTACATGATAGAGCCACCATTCCTGAGTGAAAAAGCTAAACAAGAGTGCAAGGCCCAGTATCACACACACACACACGCACACACGCACACACGCCTGGGGATGTGATTCCACACACACACACACACACACACACGCCTGGGGATGTGATTCCACACACACACAGACACACACACACACACACACACACGCCTGGGGATGTGATTCAGTGTTAGAGCACGTGCTGGGTGTTCATGAAACCTGGGATTCAATCCTCAGCACTGCAAAAGGCAAACAAACAAAAAATACCTTTGAAGCTTGTCCCAAAGGAGCTATGCCTCCTCAGGAACCTCCAAGTCGTTGGAGACACCCATGTTCCTGTGGCCCCTGCAGAGCCTGGGGGCCTCGTGGCTGCGTGGCTTCCCGGAGACGCCCTCTGGGAAGGCATTCCCTACCCAGATCCCGCGGCCTTTCATCCCCTGTGCCAGACTCCCCAGGTGCGCCGGCATCAAAAGCAAGAGACATGGGCACTCCTCATCAGGACGTATCTGAACCACATTCCCTGCGGGCACTGTTTGATATGCTGGGATCCTGGAATGAAGAGTTGAGAGAAGGAACAGAGGCCTTGTTTATTTCCTTGTCTCAGGAAGGAATTTGGGAAGCAGCCTGGGATACCACCTGAGCAGAAACACAAACACCTACTTGCAGTTACCAGTGCAGCCCACAAGCTGTGGGCCTGTGGCTTGAAGCAGCGGCATGAAGAAAGCAAGGCCCCTGGGCCTTCCGCTCTCTTCTCTGTGTCACCCATGTCTTCTTATCAGCGGAGGTGACAGGGCCTTGGCATTCAGGCCTCCTGAGTTCTCAGTTGAATGCCCAAGACTGGGAGCTGAAGGGACATTGGTCATGAGGATGCAGGCAGACACCTCCTCCTTTTACAGATGAGGAAATTGGGGCTGGAATTGAAAGACAGTAACTAAAGGGCTGGGCTGCAGCCCAGAGGTCTAGTGCCTGCCCAGCACGTGCAAAGCTCTAATTTGGATTCCCTGTACCACAAGAAAGTGAAATATAAAAAACAAAACATGGAATAACTTGCCCAGGATAGGATTTGGGCATAGTGCAAGAAATCGGTGCTGTGTACTATCAGCGGAGACTAAGTATACTAAATTGCAATTTAAAAAAATTTAAAGGCTGGGCACCGGTGGCTCTATCTGTAATTCTAGTTACTCCTGAAATCTGAAGGCTATGCTCCAAAGCCAGCCAGAGCAGGAATGTCTGCGAGACTCTTTTTTTTTTTTTTGGGGGGGGGGGCTGGTCGTGGGGCCTGAACTCTGGGCCTGGGCTCTGTCCCTTAGCTCTCCAGCTCTGTCCCTCAGCTCTCCAGCTCAAGGCTAGTGCTCTACCACTTGAGCCACAGCGCCACTTCCGGCTTTTTTCTTTTTGCTTATGTGGTGCTGAGGAATCGAACCCAGGGCCTCATGCATGCAAGACAAGTGCTCTACCACTGAGCCATTTTCCCAGCCCCCTAGTTTTAAATTGATAGTCTTATTCACCAGCATGGTTTTGGGGGTCATCTCCTGTGTGGCAAGTAAACTATGTTTTGTTTAGCACAATGTCTTTTTTGGGGGTGCCTGTCCCACAGTGCTACCCTTGAGTACAAAAGCCCAGACCCTGAATTCAAGCCCTAGGATTGGCACAATATTTAAAAAAAAAAAAAAAAGTCCCTTGCAGAACAAGAACAGATTCTGCAACACAGCACTAGAGTTTCCTAAATGTGCTCTGTCCCTGTAGCTGTTTTGTTTGGTACCTAGTACTGTGAATGGGCTTGAAAGCCATGGGGCAAGACTGCCCTCTAGTGGCCAAATGGAGACATTGATCAAGCCCATTGTTGAGGCTCCCTTTCTTTCATTGCCACAGTATACAGGATTGTTCCTGTGAAGTAATTCAGATTTTCATTCTTTCCCAAGTACCTGGCCCCCATGTTGATGCTATTTGAACTCTGAGCAGAAGCTATCACTTGCTCTTCTTCTAGCACGCTAGTTTTTGTCTTGTTTTCCCCAACATTTTTAGAAGGCACACACATACGTGCAGCGCACGCATGCATGCACATATGCACACACGTCTCCCTTACAAGGTTCTAGCTCCTAAAAACAAGTGCCTGTCTTATATCTTGTGCTTCTGTTTTGTTGCCTAGTTAGCTAGATGTGAAATTAGAAGGTTCATTGGGATGGAAAGGAATCCTCTCCCTCCATGTCCCCCTCCCCAGTAATAAAAACAAATCTGTCATTTCTTGTTTGTTCCTAAACCTTCTCATCTCATCTGTGATCTATGGTTGACTTCTGCATCTCTTTGCAGGCTTATAGAACTCAGCTTCCTAGGCCTGCCTCCAGCCTTGCTGAATCAATCTCTGTGGTTTGAGCCAGGAAATCTGCTTTACAAACTTCCCAAGTGGTTTTTTGATGTGCAGCCAGGTTTGGCAGCCAACTGGTCTAAATCCCTATTTACAATTATTTCGCATAGCCTTCCCCCTCAACAGTATCCCCAAAGGGCTTCAGCTTCTGTCACTTATTAAAATTGACCATTTTGAGATTCGTTCAGAAATAGGCAATATGCTGTTTTAACTAGGTGACATAGGAAGGCAGGAAGAAGGAAGGAAATGGAAATAAGGCAGGCAAGAGCTGAACCAAAGGGGCATATGTTTAGGCTACAAGAGGCACTATATTTAAAGCAGAAAATACTGAGACTGATACCTCTGTGCTGCCTGGACAGGTGGTCGATTCACAGCTTGGTTTCAATGCTTGGCCTTGCTCAGGACACAGATATATAGTGAGTTCCCAGTTACCTATTTTTACCTATTCTAAGTTATCCATTCTTAGAGTAACTGTGCAAGGTAGGTAGCATTTCTCCCTTTTTCATTTATGTGACTCACCCATTGGAATACAAGCTTAATCGGAGAGGGTAAAGGGGCCAGATTTGCCAACCTGCTCTTTCTCACCCCTCCAGGCCAAGCGAGCCGTGCAAAGGGGAGCCACAGCAGTCATCTTTGATGTGTCTGAAAACCCAGAAGCCATTGACCAGGTAAACTCGGGCTGCACTAGCGCTCCCTGCCATCTGCCTGAGAGAAGCACTGCCCTTAGTTAGCTTGGCTGGTCACTGTCTTGGCACCTTCATCTTAGAGCCTCTGTCCTTGTCTGCTGAAGCAAGATGTCTGTATTTGAACATCATACCTGAGGGAGGTGTGTGGAGAGGGGCTCAGAGCCAGAGAAATGGGGATGGAGGGGAGTTTCAAAGATTCTAGGGGCTGGGAAGGTGGCTCAGTGGTGGAGTGCTTGCCTTGCATGCATGTGGCGCTGTGGCTCAAGTGGTAGAGCGCTAGCCTTGAGCTGAAGAGCTGAGGGACAGTGCCCAGGCCCAGAGTTCAGACCCTACAATTGAACACACACACACACACACACACATTCTTCTAACCCTGAGTTCAGGCCCTACAACTGAACACACACACACACAGATTCTTCTAACCCATCTTATAAAACAAGCATCCTAGCCTTGTCTTTCCTGGAACCCCAAGACTATAACACTTGAAGGCTTCAAGGATTTCTAGACAGAGACTCAGTGTTTATTTCCTCCAGTCCTCTTCTTTCTCTCCATAGGGCATCAAGGGGGATGGGACCTAGGGCCTTGAGCATGCTAGGCAAATACTGTGCCTCTGAACTACATACCTGGTGCTTTCTTGCTTCTGGAAGTGTGCCTTTTAACCAGAGCCCTTTTTCCTTCCTCAGCTAAACCAGGGCTCAGAAGACCCACTCAAGAGGCCAGTGGTGTATGTGAAGGGCGCAGACGCCATTAAGCTGATGAACATTGTCAACAAGCAGAAAGTGGCTCGAGCAAGGATCCAGCACCGCGCCCCTCGAGTGAGTGTCCATGCCAGGCAGCTTCTCTTGCCCCTCCCCATGCCTGTGTCTACAGTGCCAAGTCCCTGATTCCTGCAGGTTGAGCTAAGACAGGAGGCCAGGGGCAATTTTCAACCAGATTCCTATATGGAGAATTTGGTAAACCTTAACACAGAGGTGACTAATCTAAGAAGTCTATAGGTTCTTTCCCATCCCATATCTCTGTCTCTGTCTCTGTCTTTCTCTCTCTCTCTGTCTCTCTCTCTCTCTCTAAGAAACAAACTGAGAAGGGTAAAAGGCAGAGTGTATGTAGCACTTGGCTTCCTATATCTCTTTTCTTCCCATAGTTTACCTTGTTAAGTCTCCCTCGCAGTTGAGTATGGAAGGGTTAGCTTTCAGCAGGAACTGACTTTCTGGACTAACAAGAGTGGCTCAGCTTCTCTTCAGTATGCTGGCAGTTAATGTTTACCTGGCATCTTGCCCCCAGCCTCAGGCTGAAAGCCGCTAGGCACCTAGGACTGGCACCTCATGTATGTCTGAGGCCCTCCACATGGGCCGTGGAATAGCCCGTGTTGGTGATTCTTTCGCCTGTGAGCCTCCTATTAGCCAAGCTCGCTCCCTGCTGTTAAATGCATGCGCTAGGCAAAGCAGCTTCCAGTGATCGGATAGCAGTGTGCTGTGGGGAAGAGGTAAGGGCTGAGTCTAGAGGGAGTGTGGAGAGCTGATCTGCTGGCTTCTTTATAAAGGGGGAAAAAAAAAGAACTCTGGTAAATATGACTCATTGTAGTGGAAGCTGATATTTGTGGAAGCAGCATACAATTTTCTGAGTTGTTGTAAACCGTTAATTATATGGTTAGTAATCACTGTTCCCTCAAAACATGACACTCATTCCTTTGTCCTATAAATGTGATTATTTGTGTTTATTTGGAAGGGTCTTTCATGCTGGTTACAGTGCACTCTGGGCTGTTCACAGAGGCCCCGGCTATGCCCATAGTTCCCTTGGGTACTGGGAGGCCTGAGGCTGCTGCAGACCCACCCCCCCAGCTACACCAAAGACGTCACCTGGGAGCACCCTGTGGACACGGGGACAGATCCCCAGGAGATTCCTGCACACTGAGGGGCCCCCACTTCACTTGCCCCCACTTAGCCAGGAGTCACGGCCTGTGTGCCCAAGCTGAAGCGAGGCCGCTGTGATTCATGGTGTTGTGTTCTGTTCCAGCAACCTACTGAGTACTTTGACATGGGAATTTTCCTGGCTTTCTTCGTGGTGGTCTCCTTGGTCTGTCTTATCCTCCTTGTCAAAATCAAGCTGAAGCAGCGGCGCAGTCAGGTAATGCCCAGAGCAGCCTGGGAACATTGACCCCGTTGCCCTGTGGCTAGTGAATGCCAGGGTATGGTCAGCCAGCTATTGGCGGGTCTGAGCTCCCTGCCTGTCCAAGAGGCCCAGTCCTACGAGGACCAAAAACTAACTCCTAGCTAGTTTTGCAGGAGAAATGTTTAAGTAGTTTCCATGGAGCCCTGAAACTTTGCTCCTCGAAGAGATCTGGGCATCAGCAGCACCTAGGAGCCTGAAGGAAATGCAGACTCTCAGGCCCTGCCCCCACCAAACTGAGCCCTCTTGATTCGTGATGACCAGGGTAGCCACATGATACCCTGCCAGCGGTCACTGTGTACAAATAGGAGGAAAGGTTTAAGGCTTGGGGGGTGGTACAGGGAAAGCAGAAATCTAAAGTTTGAGGAGAGAACGAGGGCCACTGGTATACCAAGAGAATCATCTTTGTTGTCATGGGGGTTCTGGGGCCACTGCCGACACAACAGGGCCAGGTGTTTATGAAGTATATTTTGTTCAGCAGCTGCCAGGCATGAGTTTTCTTTTACTCACATGCAGCTTCCTTCAGTGGAGAGGAGGAACCCTTGGTACGGAGTACAGGCTCTCACAGCTGGGAATCCTCAGGGCCGAGTGATGGAGACCCCTGCCCTCTCTGTGAAAGTGACATGTTTGTTGGTACTGCCTAAGCTGATACAGACACCCAGAGGGTCTGGGAAATGGGTACTGTGGCAGTCTGAGTTTTTAGTCATTTCTCAAGAATCCATTTTGGCCTAATAGAGAGCAGCGTTTGCCCATCCCAGTATACTGAAGGGCGTGGCCATGAGGGTGACTGGTACCACTAACAACCAGCTAACCCTGCCCTCGCTCTGCCCTGCAGAACTCCATGAACAGGCTGGCTGTGCAAGCTCTGGAGAAGATGGAAACCAGAAAATTCAACTCAAAGAGCAAGGGGCGCCGGGAGGAGAGCTGTGGGGCCCTGGACACGCTGAGCAGCAGCTCCACGTCTGACTGTGCCATCTGCCTGGAGAAATACATCGATGGAGAGGTAGTGGCAAGGACAGGACTGTCCTGGGTGGGAAGGAAGGAAGTTAACAAGCCCACAGAGGTGCTAAGGACCATGATCCCGCCCTCGTCCCCCCCAGCCTTGTAGCAGCTGAAGGGCTTTAACCTCCAGGCCTCAAGGAGCCAGCCAGCCCAAGGCATTCTAAACATGTCTTCTTTTGGATGGAGAAATCCCACACACAGGTATCCACCTATCAAACAGCAGGTGACTTCAGAAGCCAATTAGAAATACATGGTAGGATTAAAAATGTGGTTTTAGGAACATCCACACACAGGCTGGGAATGTGGCTTAGTGGTAGAGTGCTTGCCTAGCGTACATGAAGCCCTGGATTTGATTCCTCAGTTCCACATAAACAGAAAAGGTTGGAAGTGGCGCTGTGGCTCAAGTGGTAGAGTGCTGGCCTTGAGCAAAAAAGAAGTTCAGGGATAGTGTCCAGGCCCTGAGTTCAAGCCCCAGGACTGACCAAAACAAACAAAAAACCCTAAGCTGGCTTCCCTTAAAATCACTCTTCTGAAAACTCTTGACACAACGTATTTACTTGCAAGGAATTTGATGACTCTCCTCCACCCTTTTTTTTCCCCTGTAGCTTTTTCTTTTGTAAACACCTTCTGAGAAAGATGAACAACATACATCATTTACCACACTGTCATTAAGATTCTGCTAATTCTGTATAATCTCTGGACAAATAGATGTGTATATGTACACAGTTTGGGGAGCAAGTCTCAAGAGCAAATGACTTGAATTGCAGGTCTGAGGGCATGGCTCAAGTGTAGGGCACCTAGCTAGCAGGTTGATTGATTAATTTCAGGCAATTGGCAGGACTCTGGTGAAAATAAGAGAGGCCCTTGGCAATTTCTTGCATGGACATTGGGTCCAGACTCCTGGGCTCACATGCTGGGCAGATTGTAGCTTTGCAGATTTGTACTACAGGCTTCATTCTCTGTAGTGATTATGCCATGCAGCCCAGGACTGACCAGTGTTCTAGCTGGCCACACAGGTGATGTGAGGGAACTCATGTCAGCCTTGGCACTTGATCAGGCAGAACTAATTAGAAAATGGGAAGGCAAAAGTAAAATTAGGGGCTGGGAAGGTGGCTCAGTGGTAGAGTGCTTGCCTTGCATGCATGAGGCCCTGGGTTCGATTCCTCAGCACCACATAAGCAGAAAAGGCTGGAAGTGGCGCTGTGGCTCAAGTGGTAGAGCGCTAGCCTTGAGCTGAAGAGCTGAGGGACAGCGCCCAGGCCCAGAGTTCAGGCCCCACAACTGACCCCCCCCCAAAAAAAAAGTAAAATTAGTAAACATGGAGGATGCTTAGCCCAGTAGCTCTGGAGGTGGTTCTATCCCCGAAAACCCTGTCACAGTCTCTTCATGCAGGCTGCTTTACTTAGAAACCAAGTGCTCCATGGTAAGAGTTAGGGTCCAGTGACAGTGGGGCCTAGGATTCTGTTCCTCCCCTTCCCCGCATATCACCAGTCACAAGTTCTAGATATTAGATATCTTCCTTTCTCCTTGTCCTCATTTGGGGGTCTTGATTGTTCCCAGGCCTCTCTGCCAAGCCCAGCCCCATATCCTCAGGTGGCACAAGGGGTGCGCATGTGCCCCAACTCCAGGAGAGGAGTGGATACCCCTGTGCTTCTGCCCTTTTAACACTGAGGGAAGAATGAGGTTAGAGCAGATGGGTAGGCAGCTTTCTTCTCCCAAGAAACCATCCAGGGGCCCTGCCTCAGGGCCTGGAGTAGACCAGTAGCTAGAGGTGAAGAGGATAGTAGAAATTGTGTTTGTTTTCCATTACTGTAGCAAATGCCTGAGATGGTCAACTTAGAAAGAGAAAAGGTTTCTGCAGGTTCACAGTTTTAGAGAATTTAGCTCTCAATCAGTTGGCCCATTTTGTCGAACCTCTCGTGAGTAGCACATCGTGGGAGGCGCTCATGGCTGAGTAGGACTGCTCAGCTTGTTAACAGGGCGCCAGAAAGGGAGAGCGGAGGCGAGGCTCAACTGATAGAACATTGGTGAGCCCGAGTTCAAACCCTGGTGCCACTAAAAAAGCAAAAGCAAAGGAGGAGAAGGAGGGCTGGGTGGTTCATACCTGTAATCTTTGAAACCATCCCAGGCAGAAAGTCTGTGAGACTCTTACCTCCAATAAGCTACCAAAAGAAAAGAAAAAGGCAATGGAGCTGTGGCTCAAGTGGTAGAGTGCTAGCCTCGAGTAAAAGAAGCTCAGGGACAGTGTCCAGGCCCTGAATTCAAGCTCCAAGACCAGCACCAAGAACGTTTAAAAAGGAGAAAGGAGCCCAGGCAGGACCCCTTCACACTCCCCTTCCAAATCATGTCCCCAAGAATCCAAAAACATCCCACCACGCCCTACCTCCCAGCACCCAGCCAGGACCAAACCTTTAACACAACTAAGCGGCAAAGCTGGCAGGAAGGCAGCAGCGTGGAGAGTGGGTTCCACAGGCCTCCCAGGAGAACGCATCTGTGAAAGATGTAAGGGCAAGGCTGCCTCCCCCACCTCCACCCCCGCCCTGCGCCCTCCTATAGCCCGTGTGCCCTCTCCCCTCCCCCTCCGCAGGAGCTGCGCGTCATCCCCTGTACTCACCGCTTTCACAGGAAGTGTGTGGACCCATGGCTGCTGCAGCACCACACCTGCCCCCACTGTCGGCACAACATCATAGGTAACAGCCGTGACCCGCCTTCCACCCCAGTCTCCTTAGTAGGTGGCCGTACTGACGTGTACCCGAGCCCAGACACATGGGTGTGTCCCCGTGGGAGCACAGAGATGGGTACGCAGCAGCGTCGTGTCACCGTGGCAGGAGGGGGGCAGGACAGTCTCATGTTTGAGACCACGTGGCTCTGTCCACTCCCTGGTGCTGTTATCGGGCAGAGCCCCAGGGAGCTGACAGCGGAGCCTCCCTCACAGAGGGGCAGGTCAGCCAGGCGTGGACATGGCTTCGGATGGGGCGGGGAGGGGGGAGATGAGGACACACACACCCTGGCTAGTGGCCCAGCTTGTTGCTTCAGCCTTAACTTTGTTCCCTCCACTTCTCCCAGAGCAAAAGGGAAACCCGGGGGCCCTGTGTGTGGAGACGAGCAACCTGGCCCGCAGCCGGCAGCCGAGGGTCACCTTGCCGGTACACTACCCCGGCCGCGTGCACAGGACCAACGCCATCCCAGCCTACCCTACGAGGACAAGCATGGACGCGCACGGGAACCCTGTGACGCTGCTGACCATGGACCGGCACGCGGAGCAGAGCCTCTACTCCCCGCAGACCCCTGCTTATGTCCGTGGCTACCCACCCCTGCACCTGGACCACACCCTGGCCACTCACCGGTGCGGCCTGGAGCACCGGGCCTACTCGCCGGCCCACCCCTTCCGCAGGCCCAAGTTCAATGGCCGCAGCTTCTCCAAGGCAGCTTGCTTCTCCCAATACGAGACCATGTACCAACACTACTACTTCCAGGGCCTCAGCTACCCAGATCAGGAGGGCCAGCCCCCACCCAGCCTCGCGCCCAGGGGCCCGGCCCGGCCCTTCCCACCAAGCGGCGGCAGCGGCGGCCTGCTCTTCCCCACCGTGGTGCACATGGCCCCGGCCGCTCACCTGGAGAGTGGCAGCACGTCCAGCTTCAGCTGCTACCACGGCCACCGCTCCGTGTGCAGCGGCTACCTGGCTGACTGCCCGGGCAGCGACAGCAGCAGCAGCAGCAGCTCGGGCCAGTGCCACTGCTCATCCAGTGACTCCGTGGTGGACTGCACCGAGGTGAGCAACCAGGGCGTGTACGGCAGCTGCTCCACCTTCCGCAGCTCCCTCAGCAGCGACTACGACCCCTTCATCTACCGCAGCCGGAGCCCCTGTCACACCAGTGAGGCGGGGGGCTCAGGCCGAGGGCCTGCTGTGCACCTTGAGGGCTCCCCCCCACCTGAGGAACTCCAGGTGGTCCCTGGCCACAGCGCTGGGCAGGGCGAGCTGTGGCCCGGCCCGGCCTCTCCCTCGGGGGACCAGCTGTCCACCTGCAGCCTGGAGATGAACTACAGCAGCAACTCCTCACTGGAGCACCGGGGGCCCAATAGCTCTACCTCAGAAGTGGGGCTGGAGGCTTCTCCTGGGGCCGCTCTGGAACTCAGGAGGACCTGGAAGGGGGGCTGGGAGGGGTCATCGTGTGCCTGCTGCTGTGAGCCTCAGTCCTCTCCACTGGGGCCCGGGGCAGGGACAGCTGGGGGTGGCAGCCCCTTGTTCCTGGGCTCCCCACTCCATGATGGCTGCGGCCTCGCGGGTGGGGACGTGCAACCAGGGAGCTCGCAGGGCCTGTATAGCCTGCACGCTGACCATTTGCCCAGGACAGGCGAGGTGCAGTACGAGGGCCTGCCCTGCTGCTTCTATGAAGAGAAGCAGGTGGCCCGTGGCGGGGGCGGGGACTACGCGGTGAGTGTGCAGTACACCCTGGCGGAGGAACCCCCACCCAGCTGCTACCCAGAGGCCCAGGACCTGAGCCAGCGCATCCCCATCATTCCTGAGGATGTAGGCTGCGACATGGGCCTGTCCCCAGACTGTCAGGGGACCCACAGCCTTGGCCCCTGGAGCGGGGTGCTGGGCCTGGACACCCCACGGCGCTACACCCAGGAAGAGGAGCGGGCTCCATGCTACCAGGCCGAGGTGCTGCTGCAGCCTGGCTGCCCACCAGAGGAGGCTGGCGCCCCCAGGCCCAGGCTCGCCAGTGCCACCCCAGACACTCAGGAGTCCAGCGCCTTGGCCACTGAGGCTGCAGGTGAGCGCGGGAGGTGGCGGTAGGCCAGAGCAGCCATTCTGTGACATTCCTCTTCTCCTTGAGCCTTTTCTCGATGACTCCTGTCTGCCCTTGGCTTAAACATGACCTGTTCCTGAGGGGTGGCTACGAGCTCCAAACCCCTGTTCCCATCTCCCCCAAATACCCAGCAAGCACCCCACCCCATGGCATCCACGGCAGCCCTCCCATATGCACCCCTGCGTCTCCATGCCCAGCCCTGCTTTTCTGCAGGGCAGAGGCGGAAGGAGCCTTCCTGTGTCCCCCGTGGCTGCTCTTACCTTCTGTTCGTGGGAGGCAGAGCAGCCCATTTTGAAACGTTAGGTCATACCTTCATACTAGAAAGCCCTTCAAGAACTTGCCATTCATGACCTTTAGCATCTTAAAAATGTGAACCACTGAACCCCAGGAGGAAAAACAACGCAGCCACCCACTTCTGATCTGGCCCAGTGCCTGGCCCACTCTCCTTGCTTGCTGCTTTAGCCTGTGGCCTGTTCCTCCTACATGCCAGGCAGGCTCCTTCCAGCCTCCAAGTCTCCCCTGCTGTTCCACACCTGATCTCAGCCTGGGACCTTCCAGCTCCCACCCATTCATTCTTACCTCTCCGTTACTTCCTAAGTCATCCCCGGCTGAGGTTATCGCCTGAGGGTAAGCTGCAGGCTGGGTGGGGGTGGGGTGGGTCTTCCCTCCTCTCCAGACGCACACTGGGCTCTGGCATTGCTCTCATACAGCGTCTCCATGACACCCAAGGCCTTCTTCCCTAACGGTTGCTCTCTCTTTCCCTCCCAGGACCAGGGTCTCGCCCTGGCAGCGGCAGCAGCAGCACAAGGGCCTGAGCTTAGAAGAGACTCTTAACCTGGAAATTGGGAACTGTATGGAGACTCCAAACTGACTTCACTCAAGAAAAACAAAAAACAAAACTTTTTTTTTTTTAGCTTTGATAAACACATAAAAAGTGGTAATAAAGAGCCCTCCTCAACCCAAAATGTGAGCCACCTGTGGCAGACCCTCCTCCCTCCCTGGCCCATGAATAACCCAACAGACAAACTCTCCACAGCCCTTCCCCTCTTCTGATAACCTGTTACTCTTCTGTTTTGTAAAGTGTGTGCTTGGGGTTCCGAGGTGTGTGGGATTGAGTTCTCTGCTTGTTTGTTGTTTTGTTTAAGATATTATATGTAAATGTAAAAAGTTATTTAAATATATATATATTTTAAAAGAACCCTAACCACCAACTTTTGCTGAAAAAGAGAAAAAAAATCACTGCTGCATTAAATGAACCACGTCATGTGTAGATACTGTGGTCTCCCAGGAGGGAGCTCAGGCCTTTGAAATGCTCAGGGCTACACCTGCCTTAGAAATGAACCAGAAACTTGAAGTCAAGCTAGCTTATATGGGTACAAACCGAGGAGTGACGCAAAGCTGCCTCTCCTCCTCGTGGCAAGTCCAAACATCCCAAACAGAAGCCAGACCTCTCCAGCCTTTAGACGTGGATGGAAATGGCTAGGAGCAAGCCGAGTCTGCGGTTCCGGGGGAGCCCACGTGACCCATCTGCCCAGTATCCTCAACCTGTCCATTTGGACCATCATTCCAAGTCAATGCCACAAGAGCTCACAGTCCTGTCTCGGCAGTGGTCCAAATCCTAGCAAGGGCAGTCAGTGTTCCTGGGTTTCTTTACTCTGGCTCCTTGGACAAGGAAAACGAAGCTCTTTCATCTCTAGTCCCCACTTTGGAGTCCTTTGCAAAAATATGAAGGGCTTTCCTGCCTCTGGCTGCGGGAATGGCTGGGCACAGGGCGTGCGGAGCCGACACCCAGGAGGAATGTAGTTTTGTGGCCTGGTGTCTGATGAGGCTGGGAAGAGGTCTCTGCTCACCCAGCAGCACCCCACCCTTTGGAGGAGGGACAGAGAGGCCTGGGGTGCATGTGCCTGTGTGGGGGTAGCCCTACCCCTCTGCTGCTGCTTCCTGGGGCTGCCTTCCTGGGGCCACATGCTGGGGACCCCCACCCCGGGGGGTGCACTGAGCTTAGTTCAATGATACATCTCCCATCCCTTTTCTTCACAGAAGCACGCGTCAGGGTTGTTCAGCCTCAGAGCTGAAATTGCTCATCTCACCTGCAAACGTCTACTATCCGTCTGCCTAATGCACTATTATGTATTGATTTTCCATGAGACAAGAGAGACTATCAGATAGTTTAGACCCAAAGGGTAGGTGTTTATGTATTTTTCCAGCTTTTTTTTTTTAATAAGGGGAAGGGAAAGTTTTAAAAAATGCAAACAAATCTTTTTTGGTGTTTTTCATGTTTCATTTCTAAAAGGGAGAGAGAATCTATTTAAAACTATTTCAGATCAGGGATTGTCATCCTTCTTGTCCAATGTAGCCCTTATTCTTTTATTCATTCATATCTATATATGATATATAGATATATCATATATATTTTATAGGACACAATCAGATTAGCCCTTGTATTTGCTTTTTCTGGTCACTTTTATTCATTTACCAGGTATTTGTTGTCATCTGAAAGAATTGGGGCTCATGGCTCTTCACAGCTCTTTTATAGAATAGGATCCTTCGGGCCTGACTGTCTGTACATGGAAAATAGGGTCTGGAGACTGCTGACCCCTCTTCCAGTCTGGCTCACAGGAAGTCACCCAGAGTGTTTGAAGAGAGAATCTCACTGTATGAGATGTCCCAGCCTATGACAAGGCAATTTGCTTATTTCTAACCAGCATTTAATACAAAGAAATACCAGCATCAAATGATCCAGCCATTTGCCATTTAGGAAGTCTCTGTGGTGGCATTCATACAGTCCCATTTGTGCTGCCTTTCCAGGCTGCACCTGACAAACCTGTTGGTTGAGTGTGAGAAGCATCTCAGCTGTTGGCAGCCTCTGCTACTAGGGATAACAGCTTGCATTACTATAGGAAATGGGGAGGATATGGCTGTGTGTGTGTGTGTGTGTGTGTGTGTGTGTGTGTGTGTTTTATAGGAAATGGGGAGGATATGGCTGTGTGTGTGTGTGTGTGTATTTAGAGATAATGTCACAGACTCCTGCCCAGGCTGGCCTTAAGTGGCAATCATCAGCTCTCAACCTCCAAAATAGGATTATAGGCATGAGCCACTGAGACCTGGCTGATGTAATGGTTTTTAAGTTGCAAAAAGCAACTTCTTACTGAGATTTTTGTTGATGTTGTTATTTGTGGTTTTGCTTGCTTTCTTCTTTAATGTCTTTGAATACCTAGTATACTATAATGTCTAGAACATATCCCTAAACCTGCTTTCTGTATAGTCCTATGTGGAAAAACCACTTTGTAGCCTTAAGCATTAAGTAGAGAATTTGGCTGCCACTGAACTGATTCAAATACACATGCTTCCAGTTTTCACTTAAAAGAATGATTGCTTCAGATAACAGAAGAAAGCATGTTTTTATAGTTTGAGTGGTAGGTAGGAACAAAAATGAAACTTTAAAAACTTAAACATCAACCCTCTTTTTGTTGTCTTCATCGGAGAGGTTTTCAGAATAATATAACCAACTACCTTTTTTTGTCACCATGAAAATGAATACCTACTAGGAAGTTCTAAGACTCCAGTAATGGTGACAGGTATCTTTTTTCAGTGGACTCTGGTGAGTTGTGATGTAGCCATGGAAATGGAACATCCCACTTCTGATAAGAACCACCCCATCTTCCATTCTGAGTGTTACTAGGATGAGGTTTTAGGGCCCAACTCTGAGAGTAAGACAGCCCTTTAAACTGCAGACTTCTTGAACCTGCGGAAAATGGCAGTTTGGGCATTCTAACCAACAACATACCTCTTTGTGGACACAGCCTCACTAAACTGTCTTTATTTTTTACTATTGTTATTATTTTGTTGTCTATGTGGCACTGAGGAATTGAACCCAGGGCCTCAGGCATGCTAGGCAAGCACGCTACCACTAAGCCACATTCCCATCCCTAAACTGGCTTTAACTCTCAGTCCCTTTCCCACTCCTTCAAGCCGAAGCCATGTATTAAGTTCCCCATGCGGTCCCAGGCTCAGACCCTCCCTATGTGCTTCTGGTCTCAAGGTTCACCCAGGACTAATGCTTTCAAAATGAGGTCTAAAAAATAATTACTAACCAAGATTGTCTTTGAAACAGAACTGCCTTTTTCTATTCTTTATATAAAGCTATTGTGATGGTCTAACAAGGCACTATTTTAAAACTTCTTGTATTTGTTTTTTAAAGTTTTCCCACAGCACTTAAAAGAGATTTTGTAAAGACTTTGCTGTAAAGATTTTTGTAATAAAATGGTCTAAGGGCTCTTTCTTTTCCAACATTACCATTTTTTAAAAAATGTTTTAAAAGCTAGAAAACAACTTATGTATATTCTGTATATGTATAGCAGCACATTTCATTTATGGAAATATGTTCTCAGAATATTTATTTACTAATATATTTATCTTAAGCCATGTCTTATGTTGAGAGTGTGACATTGTTGGAATAATCATTGAAAATGACTAACACAAGGCCCTGTAAATACATGATAATTGCACACAGATTTTACCTATTTGCAGACCAAAAATGATTTAAAACAAGTTGTAGTCTTCTATGGTTTTGTAACAAATTGTACAAATGACTGTAAAAAAAAATACAATTTTATCAAGTATGTATTATATGTTGTCTTTGCTCTGTTTGATGAAGGTCTTCAGATTCTATGAAGTTGCTTGCCACTGCTTAGAACTTCAGCTAGCATGTGGGAATGTCCACTTAACTCCTCCTATTATTAGAGCACAGGCGTGGGGCTTTCTGCTGAGTTTTGGTGGAGAGAGCTGGGGAAAGTAGTAACAAATGACCAGGAACCTTGACTTTTTTTTTTTTTAATCAGAAACAATTTGTATATAAACCACTGTTTTCATCTGCTAGGTCTTTTCCTGCCTGGTAAAACATCTCCAAGCATCTAGCCCTCAAAATTACCGAACCATGTGCCAAGCAGAGTGACATACCTGTAGTCCCAACTAGTTAGAATGCTGAAATAGAAAGATCACTCAAACCCAGGAGTTCCAAACTAGCCGGCACAACATAATGGAAACTCCCTCTCCCCCAACTTTTAAACATAGACTCAAAGAAAAAAAAAAGAAATTATAAGCCAGGCACCAGTGTTTCAGGCCTATAACCCTAGCTACTCAGGAGGCTGAGATTTGAGGATCAAGATTCAAAGCCAGTCCAGGCAAGAAAGACTGTGAGACACATCTCCTATGAACCAGCAGAAAACCAGAAGTAGATCTGTGGCTCAAAGTGGTGCTGACCTTGAACAAAAGAGGTCAGGAAGCCAGGCTCTGGTGGCTCACACCTGTAATCCCAGCTACTCAGGAAGCTGAGACCTGAGGATTGCAATTCAAAGCCAGCCCAGGCAGGAAAGTCCCTGAACCTCTTATCTCCAATAAACCACTCGGAAAACTGGAAGTGGTGCTGTGGCTCAAGTGATAGAGCGCTAGCCTTGAGCTGAGAGAGCTGAGGGACAATGCCCAGGCCCAGCGTTCAAGCCCCACAACAAGACCAAAAAAAAAAAGTGAAAAAATAAAACTTCTGAGACTTCTAGGGCTATGTTCCCAGGCCAATTCGCAAACAGTATTTACACCTCAATCCTGGGACAATTGTACCACATCCCTTCTTTATAAAATGTTGTGTGACGGCCAGAAAGGTCTCATGCCTCATATCAGCTTTCTTATTTCTATATACATAGAAGTCCTCCAGGCTGCTTCATGCACTGCTTTGGACAATGAACTAATTTTCTGCTCAAGATTTAAGGAAGTTCTCTGTCAGACCAGGTGAATCAAAAGAACTGAAAGAACTCAGGGACAGCACCCGGGCCCTGAGCTCAAACCCAACCACCTACCAAAAATAAATGCAGAGAGAATTTCATTTTGAGTAAACCACATGGCTGTCTCATTCCCCAGGGACAGTGGTCGAGAATACGTAGAGCATGCTGAGATTGTGTGAAAAGCGCAAAGTGGTGTTTATTTTTCAGACATCTAACAGAGAATACCTAACCGTGTGCGTTCTTGTTAGCTTCCACTCTTTAGCTTGGGCTATTTCTTGGGCACAGGCTCCTCATGGACACCAGCCACTTCCTGCCCGGCAGCGGGTCCCTCTGAGTGCCTTCAAGAACGGCAGCCTGACTGCACAGAGCTTCCCAGAGCTTTTGTTTAATGGCCTTGCCCAGCTCCAGGCTGTACCTCTTGGGAGTTCCTGAAGGGTTCCACAACATAGGCTCCACCACAGCTTGGTACAGCGCCTGGTAACCCTCGGTGGGGAGCCCGTGGATGGTTGGTGTGTCCTCCAACAACTGCCGTCTCTTTGGAGCTTTGGTAAGCAATGTTTGGCCCTTCCAGGCTGCCATCCCACTGTCCTGGGCTAGTGCTTGGGTGGTGGCCACATGTTCAGCATATCTGTCCTCAAAATCTTGGCACACTGTTCCTTTTTTCTCCTTTGAACTTTCTTTACTCTAGCCAGGAAGAAAGCAGAGAAGTCAAAGCTAAAACTTGAGAAGGGAGCGCAAAATAATTCATCTGAGATTTGTGTCGCAGAGTCTTGGTGACAGGCAACAAGCAACATTCGTCTATCATGTCCTAGTTTATGACTGAGTCTTTCTATGTGCACTGCCGAGTGAGTTCAGAAAGCTTACAAGGTCAGTAGGAGACAGTGTGAAAAGCCTGGAACTTGGGATTGGCTTGCCCAAGGCCACACAGCTAGAAGGTTAATAACACAGCTGTCCTCTGTTGAATGCCATGCAGGATCCTAATTATTGTGTGTCAAGCTCTGTTCAAAAGCCCTTTGTGTGTATTGACTCATTTAATCTTCAAGAAGCTCTTTAAGGGAAGGGCCATTATCTCTCCATTTTTATGATATAATCAAGGCAAAGAAGTGAAACCCAAGATCATCCTCAATTATAGCCCGAGTTGAACCCGAACAGCTTCCAAGGCGCACACCGCTCTTCTGTAGTCCACCATGGTGACCAGGCCTTTGTTTACCAAGTTCACAGCCAAAGCTATAACTTACTAGGGCTGCTTTCTACGTGTATGTGAGTATGTATTACCGTATCTCTCCCACCATAATTTGGGGTTTGGTTGGGGGGAAGGAAGTGTTTGGTGCCAGTCCTGTGGCTCAAACGCAGGGCCTGAGCGCTGTCCCTGAGCTTTTTTGTTTTGTCAGTCCTGGGGTTTGAACCCAGGGCCTGGGCTCTACCTCTTGAGCCACAGCACCATTTCCAGCTTTTTCTGTTTATGTGCTTCATGCGTGCCATATTCCCAGCCCTCTTTGAGTTTTCTTTTGTTTTTTGGGGTCTGGTCATGAGCCTGAACTCTGGGCCTGGGCGCTGTCCCTCAGCTCTTCAGCTCAAGGCTAGCGCTCTAACACTTGAGCCACAACGCCACTTCCAGATTTTTTTTCCTGCTTATGTGGTGCTGAGGAATCGGACCCAGGGCCTCATGCATGCAAAGCAAGCGCTCTACCACTGAGCCACCTTCCCAGCCCTCCCTGAGCTTTTTTGCTCAGGGCTAGTGCTCTACCACTGGAGCCACAGCTCTATTTCCAGCTTTTATTTTGGTGCCTAATTGGAGCTAAGAGTGTCACAGGACTTTTTTGCCTGGGCTGGCTTCGAACCTGGATCCTTAGATCTCATCATCCTGAGTAGCTAGGATTATAGGCATGAGCTACCAGCACTGGGCCCCAATCCTATTTTCAAATTTAGGGTTTCCTTCTCTTGAAATGTAAGTCCCCTCTCCCCACCCATCCCATTTTCTCCACCTCTGACCCTTGTCTACCTCTCCTGTGAGCCTCCAGGGCCCAGGTGAACCCAGGGGCTGCCCGGCTGGCCGATTGCTCTTGGAATGGATGGAGTTTCTTATCCTGGCTCTCTGGGTGGCGTTCATCATTGATTTATCCCTGGGCTTCAATCTCTTCGAGGATTTTGCTTCTCCAAATGTGGAAGGCACCGGGCAGCATCTACCCTTCAGTCGCCGTCTGAGCACAAGCTTAACCAGAGAAAATGAACTGGCAATTAGTGGATTCTTTACCACTTCCCAACAAGAGGTGCTGGGACCTGGTTCTGGGACCTTGATCTGCTTTGCACATGTTCTGGCTGTCCAGATGTTGGTGAGAGCTGGTGAGACCACATAGCAGTCCTGAAGCCTGGTGTTCAGTAAGATGGACCGTCGGAGTCCATAGGTGGGGATATTGGGGTCTCGTCTCACATAGACCAGGTGCTGGAATTATAAGTGGAAGGGAAAGGAATTTAAAACAAAACAAAACAAACCCACCAATTCTCAACTAGAAACTAGAAAGTCTACTTAGGAGACCTAATATGACCATCTTCAGGAGGCTGAGATCTGAGGATGACAGTTCAAAGCCAGCCTAGGCAGGCAAAGCTGAGAGACTCTTATCTCCAATTAACCAGCAAAAAAGGCAGAAGTGGAGCTGTGGCTCAAGTGGTAGAGTGCCAGCCTTGATGGAAAAGGCTAAGGAAGAGCTCAAGGACCGTAAGTTCAAGCCCTCGTACTACTGGTAAGAACTATCAGGTTCCAGTGATATTGAAGCTCTCCGAACATGCCAGGGCAGGCAGGTAGGGGTCACAGAGGAATTACTGGGATCAGAAGACGCTTTCTGTCTCCTGGGAAGAGGAAAGAGCCTATGATAGGAAAGCAATAGGGGGAGGGCCACTCAAGACTTCTATGTAAGCTGAAATCCCAGCTCAACCGCACTGCCACACTGAAATGACAGCAGGTAAGGCCTGCCAAAGCCTGAAAACACCTCTTAACCAGACTCTCGTGAGCCAGGAAAAGCCACTAAGCAGGGAAGTATACTCTAGGGCCCGTAAAAGGCAAAAGTTACACTTCCGAGGACTAGCCACAAACAAGAAAAACAATCTGCGTAGATGAGAATCCCATAGAAAGACCTGGCTTTCTAAGAAATGTCAACTATAAAAAAATAACATAAAATCACCTTACCATATTTCAGTTGCCTTAAATTTTATTTTTAGCTAGCTTAGTAGGGGAAGAACTATAATATATATTTTTTTCTTTGTCTCTTTCTCTTTTTGTTTTGAGTATTTCTAATCACCCATCTCTCTCTGCCTCAGTCATGTATGGGCAAATAGTTTGTTTAGATTTTGGCTCCCAGGCAAGCGGTTTTGAGCCATTATCTCTAGCATTTGTGATGTCACTTGGGTTTGTGATGTGGGTGTGGGTAGGTATTACATCATCAGGTTTTATAGTTAAATTATATTGGGGAAAGTTCTATCTGGTTTGCTCATAGCCTCAAGAATTTTGAGTCCTCATTTATCCCTTTCGCCCCGCAAAACATGGCTTGGGTGAAGATCCCAATGTTCTTAAGAAGCATGCTTTGTATAAAACATCATCAATACACAGGCCAGATCTGTGGGGACAGGTAGCACGATGCACCCTACACAGGCAAAAGGTTGCCTCCTCCACACACACATAAAGAAGGTACTGTTACATTTCAGAAGAGCTGCCAAGATTGGGGACCAGAAAGGAAAGAACACGTTCCTGCAGCCCTGGGCACCTCTCCTTGTGTGTCTCTCCCAGAGAGCCTACACTGTATCTGGAACGTGGTTTTATTTTACATCCCATGGCAAATGCAGTAATTAGAGCTGTGAGCAGTGTCAAGAGTTTGAACCGAGAACAAAGACGCCTCTTCCTGGGAACTCTTGGCAATGCCGGCTCCTTATCAGGTGCTGGTCCTGTTGGTGGTTTTGATTTTTTTTTTCATACACAAAATGCCAAAGGAGGAGTCCTCAAGAGGGGGGATGCGGGGGGGGGGGGGGGGAGTGAAATGATGGAAAAACAGAGTCTGAGTCTGGCAGAGACTCCTGGAATCGCCTGTGTTGCCTGTTTGAATTTTTGAGTATTATCCCTGGGATGAATCAAAGTCTGCAGGCAGCCGCACTGCAGGCTACACAGTGTTAGAAGAAGCAGCTCCCAGCCCACGGCATCTGGACCCACAGACATTTGGGAAGACAATGCCACCCATTCAGTCTCCAGGCCTGGCCTGGCCTTGCCTTGCCAGAGGTGGGTCAATGTTAGAGCAGAGCACTGGGAAAGGTTTGTCTTTGGGAAAGGTTCGCGAATTTCTGGAAACTAGACAGACAAGCATCCTTGTAAAGCTGGTGAATGTAGGCTGGGTGCTGGTAGCTCATGCCTGTAATCCTATCTATTCAGGAGGCTGAGATCTGAGGATCTCGGTTCCGTTGGGTAGGGAAGTCTGTGAGACTCTTATCTCCAAGGAACCATCAGAAAACAAAGTAGAGCTAAGGCTCAAAGTGATAGAGCTCTAGCCTTGAGCAAAAAGAGCTCAGGGACAGTGCCCAGGCCCTGAGTTCAAGCTCCATGACTGACAAAAAAAAAGCTGGTGAGGGGCTGGGAATGTGGCCTAGTGGTAGAGTGCTTGCCCCTATCATGCATGAAGGCCTGGGTTCAATTCCTCAATACCACATACACTGAAAAAGCCGGAAGTGGCACTATGGTTCAAGTGGTAGAGTGCTAGCCTTGAGTAAATGAAGCTCAGGGACAGTGCCCAGGCCCTGAGTGCAAGCCCCAGCACTAGTGAATGTGAGAGGAGGGACCTGATTTTTTTTTGGGGGGGGGTCCAGTCATGGGGCCTGAACTCTGGGCCTGGATGCTGTCCCTCAGCTCTTCAGCTCAAGGCTAGTGTTCTACCACTTGAGCCACAGTGCCACTTCTGGCTTTTTTCTTATGTGGTGCTGAGGAATGGAACCCAGGGCCTCAAGCATGCAAGGCAAGTGCTCTACCACTGAGCCACCTTCCCAGCCCCAGGACCTGATTCTTGTCCACTTGAAAACTCTGCCTAGCACCGACAGAAGCTAGATCCAGACATAAAAAGGCATAATCAGAGTAGCTCTTCTGCTCCTCACTGTTCCTTCCTACTTTCTGTTTTGTTTTGTTTTATTTTGAGATAAGGTCCTGCTACTTAGTCTAGGCTAGCCTGGAACTCAGTGCTGGGATTATAGGTGTATACCACCTTCCTCGTCTTGAAGTTGGTTTTTCCACACCTCATCGTTCCTGCCGTCATTTTTGCTTTCCTATTTCTGTAACCCAATGACCAGGTGCCACAAATGTGACTCTGAGCAGTGCCTTCAACCTCCTCTGGCACACAGCTACTCACATGGACAGCACCTGCCACCTGTTCTTCAAATTGTACCAGTTCTACCTTTTTTCCATTCAGGGTGCAAATCCCTTCAATTGGCTGTACCTCAAAGGAAACCCTCGCCCTTTTTAGAACCAACTCTAAGCAACTTGGCTTGTGTTACTCTGTCAATACAAGTACTTACTGAATGCTTATGGATGGTCATGGACCATCCTAGTCACTTTCCAAGCTCCCCATGTCTTTTTATTGTTTCCAGTAGTAGGGGCTTGAACACGAGCTCTCACACTCTTACTTAGCTCGTATTCTACTGAAGGCTGGCACTCAACCCCTTGAGCCGCACTTCTACTTCCAACATTTTGCTGGTCCACTGGAGTTGAGTCTCTTAGAAGCTGGGCGCCAGTGACTCATACCTGTAATCCTAGCTACTAAGGAGATGAGATCTGAGGATCACAGTTCAAAGCCAGCCCAGGCAGGAAAGTACGTGAGACTCTGATCTCCAATAAACCATTAGAAAATCGGAAGTGGCGCTGTGGCTCAAGAGGAAGAGCGACCCCTTGAGAAGAGTGCAGGGGCAGCGGCCAGGCTCAGAGTTCAAGCCCCACAACCGACAACAACAACAAAAAGGCTCTTAGATTTGTCCACTCAAGCCAGGTTGGCTTCAAACCTGAGTTCTGAGGTCTCAGCCTCCTGAAGAGCCAGGATTTACAGTTGTGAGTCAGCAATACCTGGTCAAGCATCAAGACCACACAGTCCCATGGGGGTGGGTACATTTGCTGCTCTACCCACAGGCCCCAAGTCTCGTAACCAACGAAGGCTGGGCTCTACCAGCCAGATGGCCACAGGCAGGCTGTGATCATCCCCTCCTCAGTCACCAGCGCTGGGACCAGTTCCCACCCTATCTCCCCCGGGGCTAGGACGGCATGGCAGACCCATCTCTCCCCAGACAAGGGATTCATATCTCTGAACCCCAATTTTCTTTTTTAGTGCCAGTACTGGGACTTGAAGTTGAGGCTTGGGAAGTATCTTTTAGCTTTTTTTTTTTTTTTGGTCAAGGTTGGTGCGCTACCACTTGAGCCACAGAGCCACTTATGGTTTTCTGGTGGTTAACTGGCGATGAGTCTTACCAGCTGGCCGCTGGTGGCTCACACCTGTAATCCTAGCCACTCAGCAGGCTGACATCTGCGGATCGTGATTCAAAGCCAGCCCAGGCAGGAAAAGTTATGAAACTCTTATCCCAATAAACCACCAGAAAACTGGAAGTGGTGCTGTGGCTCAAGTGGTAGAGCACTAGCCTTGAGCTGAAGAGCTGAGGGACAGCGCCCAGGCCCAGGGTTCAAG